TTCACTTCAAATGTGAATTTTAAATGTGCATTTAAAAAGTTGGGTTCTAACTAGATTATTGTTCTGCTACAAAAGCTTACTGTTTGATGATAACTTCTTAAATCAAGATCGGACTCCTGCTGACCTTGACATACCTGCATTTTGTGCTCCCAACTTGCCTGAGCATACCTCCAGCCACTCCCTACGCTAAGCCCTCGCCTCCGAGGCTCGCCACCAACACTTCTCTGAAGTCGGTTTTGTTGGTCTCACTTTTGTGCCTTTGGAAATAATATGACTGATAAGTGATAGCAGACTTTATAATTATTGTCAAGCATTTATTGTGGATCTGACACTGGGCTAAAGTTATTTTGCAGTTAAGAATGGCAGGTCATGGAACACAGTACTAGAAATGTGGGTTTTTGAAAGTCAGCTCTACATCCTATTTAACTGTGAAACTTGGGCAAGTTACTTAAATTCTACACCTCAGTTTTCTGGTATATTGAATGAGATACAGTAACATCTACTTCCTGGGTCATGGTGAAAAGTGGATAAGATAGTGTAGCTTCTTACCCTGCCTGGTGTGTAGTAGTCACTCTCAGTGAGTGTTGGTTGTTAGTATTATCATTAAAATTCATAATAGGTATTCAAAGTAGCTATTATCATCTGTATTTCTGTATGAGGCTTACTAGAAGGATAGATACTGAATATTCTGTTAGTCTCATTCTCACTTCAGCATCAGAAATATTTGCAAATTTCTTGGAATCTTCTCCATGAAGACTTAATTTTCCTCCTTTGAATACCATTCTTTGTTTATACTTGATCTAGAATATTCTTCACACAATAGGGATATTTGCATATTTTCTCTAGCTCCCTAAATTGTGTAGTATTTCATTTTGGAGGCCATGTACCAGGGATAGAAAGAAGCAAGGCTTGGGGTAAAAGGAGCTGGTTTTGAATTCTGGCTCTGCCACTTCTCAGCTGTATGACACTGAAAAAGTTACTCAACCTCGCTGGTCCTCAGTTCTATAATCTCTAAAATAGGAACAATAATACCTTCCTTCTGGGCTGTTCATGAAAATTAAATAGTCTAGTATAGGGAAACCACCCAGTACAGTGCCTGCATATAGGCAGGGTCTAGTTCAGAATAAATTCTCCTCTTACATTCTTCTCAGCAGAGCAGATTTACTCAGCCTCCTGTTCTTCATAGAAGTTAATACATGGTCTTACAAATATTTGGTGCTTAGAAAATACTGAATCAAACCAAATTATTGTTATATTCAGTGATAGCCAATGGCCACATAACCAGCAAGGACACACTGCAATACAAAGGTATTAGCTGCATTTTCTGATTGCTCTACTATTATCTTTTTTATTGTGATTTAATAACTGCATATCAGAATTATCCCTGGGGTTATCTCTTACAACATCTCTTACAAATGGCTAGTCTGGAGAATTGATCTTTGTGAAATCTTCACCACTGTGAAGTGATTTCTCACTAGTCTGCATTCATCGCATTTTGGGGATACCCTGGTCATAGTCCAACCTGTTAGTTTACATTTCCACGTTTCCTACTAAACTGAATCCCCTCAAAGGGAGGTGCCCTTCTTCATCTTCCATCCCTAGTCTCTGACGCAGCATTTCACTTGCAGAATATGCCGGGCAGCAGGCCTTGGTCCCCCCTTCCATCTCCTGAGGAGATGGAAGACCACGATGAAGTGTAATGATGATTCTGGCATGGGTAGGATTCCAGGTGGGCACAGAGAACGAGCCTCCCCCAGATGTAAGGGGCCCGGCAGGCTTTCTGAGGACGTGATGCGTGCGCTTAGTTTCAAAGGATAAAGGAGAAGAAAGTGTTACTAAGAAAAGAACACTCATTTGGTTACGTCAGTGAGTGTCTCTTTTAGTTAAATCTCAAAGAAATGTAGATTATAGCATTGGCTATTGAGCTTCGCCATAAAAAGGCTTACATCTTTCATTACAACAAAGCTGCACCACTTGCTAATTGAAGTATGTACATTAATTGAAAAAAAATGCACCAAGGGAATGAAGATGCTTTGTAATCTAAGCCATGCTTTATAAATCAGATCCTTTTAAACTACTCCAAGATGTTCCGTTGTTTCAAGCTTATCCTTGAAATGATCACATAGGTCTCCCTGAAGACCTCAAAAATCATGTCAGAGCGGAGATAATGTATTCTGTTATCACTCCAGTTAATTTGTGAACATGAGTAATTAGATTAGTTGGCTGTCAATATGTACCTGTAGGACTAAGCACTGTTACAGGAAGTTCTGTAGAGAAGGGCCACCAGCACGCACTGCATGGATATCAGTGCATACTTTTGTCACTGATATTTGGATGCTGGTGCTTTTGGGGCTCATAATGCAAGGTTACAAGACAAGTACTACGAATCTTTTCAAAGTCCATCCAAGGGTATTTGCAAAAAAATTAGCCCTGGAGCACTGGAAAGACTAAGCAAGTGAATCACCTTGTGCTTGTCTGCTCCTAGCGTTCAGTCTCCATGTGTGAAAAGGGCTGATGATAAATGAGAAAACAGCATGAAAAAATGTGACTCGTGTAAACTGTGGAAAATAGGGGCTGGGGTAGGTTTTTCAGTTTTAAGGTAGATTTCATATATATACCTACATATATCAAAATGTTTACATGATGTTCAAGTTTTAAATTAATAAGAGAGAAATTTGAGTAAAATGGAAGGATTTATGTCTTACCTTTAAGATATGTGGATAAAATATCCTATCTCTTTTTTAATACATAAATGGGAAGATGGACTATATTCAAACTTGTGGAAATTATCTATATTCCTCATTTAACAAAAAATTTGTCAAAAATCTTCATATACACAGCGCAACAAAAGAAGCATGGACCAGGGACAGAGTAAGACAAGGAGAGGCAAGGATGCATACAGGTGGGACTTTTTGCAGGAGCTGACATCTGAGCTGTGATGCATGGTCTTTAATGTGTTATTCCAGATCTGAGGAGACATTAAGGTATAGAGTAAGTAATAAGATTCTATCAGGTAAACCCTTCTACCAGCCAGCATAGTGCTAAGTGTTTTACATATTTTCTCCTCCTGGCTGTAAGGTGAGGATACATCAGTAGTCCCATTTTACAGATGGAAAAACCGAGGCACAAGAAGAAGATAAATCAGTTTCACCCAATCATAAGTTGCAGGGTCAGGATTCAAATCCAGGTCTTTGTAAATGCAATGTCTGGGTTGTAAGGTACTCTGTACAGGGACATTAGACCACCCCTGAGGAGAAGGAAGATGTAACCTGGATTAAGTCAAAGATTTCCTGGAAGAGTGGAGCTGACTCCTGGGAGGTGGGTGGTGGGAAGAATGGCAGATATTGATGTTAGGACATTTTTTGTGGTGAGGCGAGCACGTTGAAGACATGGTTTGTGCTCATGCCTCCCTCTAATTCTCTTGTTATCTAGAACCATGGTGGTTTGATCTTGCTGATTCTTCTGGACTTCCATTGTGTAGCTGGAATTCAAATCCAGTTTCTCTGATTCTTAATCTAGAGCTAAAACTCCGCTATTGCTTAATGCTACATACAGATCTTCACTTTTCAAGCATAACATCTAGTGAATTTTTTTAGGTTCTTAAAAATCTATTAGTGGGCTTAATTTTCCTTCATTTTTATTAATTTTCCATTGGTAAAGCTTAAATTTTTGTGCATATTACTTTTGTGATTCCTATCCCTAACTTTCATTGAGATCTCCTTAGGTTTTTGAATAATGCTTGAAGTTCAGTTTAAATCTCCATTAAAGAAGGGGTTTGAGAAAATTGTATTTCTTTTCATGGGCTTAAGGTGGAAGAATTGAAAATTGCAGCCCTTTTGGCAGGTCCTTGGAAGAAATACTAAGAGAAACTTTTTTAATAATACAAAGTTTTGCACATTAAGTGCAATATTGGGCGATAATGATAAAACTGATTTCTCTGTTTTTATAACCTAAGTTATTAGATAAAGCCTACCTCTAGCTACTTTTCTGCAAATGCCTTTTAAAAATAATTTTACTTTTAAAGGAAAATGGCAATCAGAACGTAAGTGGTAATTATTTTATATAGAGTGTCTTTTTTTTTCTATGCCTGAATCTCTGCAAATAATAGACTTCTAGCTTTCAGTGGCACTCAGAGGTTATTTTTAATCTGCATATTAATTCTCTAGGCTGTTTTGATGATAGAAAATCTCACGACGGGAGGATCAGAATACTAAATTACCAAAGCACAACCCCTCCTTCCATATTGGATCTGGCAGTTTAATAAGAACAACAGCTAAGTACAAAACCTTCTCAGAAATATTTAGAGCAGTAAAAGAGACAACAGTTCTTCATGAGCCCACAATCTTTACCAGGCAGTTAGTCTACTTAAGATAACTTTCCCATTATTCACGAGTCTTCGAGGACACCACAGTATAGGTTCCTTTATTAATAGCTCCACTGTCATCCATTATTTAGACATGGCTCCATGTTAAATCACCAATGTGTCAGTCTCCTAAAGCAATGCACCTCAGAGTTTTAAATAAACTCTTGACAGGAAGTTGTCAGAGGAAGAGCTTATTTCAACCAGTTAAGCAGTTGAGCATGAACAATGCTCTGTTTGGAGATAAAAACATAAAATAGATGAAAAATTAATTATTAAAGTTCATTTAATTAGAAAAATCCTGTACTTAAAATTTAATTTACAGATGATGGAATTACATTTATCTGGTGGAGGATTCAATTCAGTTAGTTATCATGAACCTAAATACAATTTCAGGAAATTTTGTCAAGCATCTACTATATTCTCAGCACTGTACAAGAGACTGATAGGGATATAAAGGAAATACACAGATTTCTTTCTTTTCAAAAGCTTACAGCCCTGTTGGGGAGCCAGAGTTCCATATATATATATATATATATATATATATATATATATATATATATATACACACACACACACACACACACATACACACACACACAATATATATAGCAATATATAGAGAGATGTAATATATAATGTGTGTGTGTGTGTGTATATATATATATATATAGATATATCTATATCTATATATATATATCTATCTATATATATATATATATAGAAAGAGAGAGAGAGAAGTAGATATAGATATCTCCTAGAGAACAATTTTAAAGTCTTATTAAATGCAAAATAGGTGTTGAGGATTTGCATTACTAAAGGATAATTTAAAAGAGTGAGTTTAATGAGCATGGTAATTGGAGAAGTCTTTGGGAAGAGATCCCACTAGAAAGAAGATAAGCAGAAGAGAAGAAAAAGATTGTCATAGACCAGAAGAGAAAAAAATATGGATCAAAGTACAAGAGCAGAAACTGAACAAAGCATGAACATGGGGCAGAAAGGCTGGGAAGGTAAGAGTCCAGGGAAATGTGGTTTGATGTGAAAATAAGAGAATCAGATTATGAAGAGATTATTTTGTACCACCTTGGAAAAGCCATATAAGTTATGGGGAAATTACTGTATGTACTCAAAACTGCATTGAGTTACTCTTAGACAGAGTAGTCTGGTGGCATTGCATCTGTGGTTAATAATCGTGAGAAGAAGGAAGGGCAGTTGAGATACTGTGCAATAGACCAGGAATTTGGAGAAGAGGTCTAGGCATCCTGAACAGAGGACAAAGTAAGAATAAATAAAGGAGGATGCATTTCAGAAACTGCATGCTTTTCAATTGATCCATTTCAATTGATAGAAAGTAAATACAGTTTTTCAAATGGGATAATTAACTGATTGAAATAGGCTCTTCCCCAAAGACTTGCTGTCATACAGTTATTTAGAAATGAGTTACATTACTTTAGTAGAAAATCACTCTGATGGTTTAATATGGAATGAGGCTAAAAATAATGCATGACATCAGAGATACTAACAAAGGGACATATATTTTTTGATGCCACCATTGCCTAGGAAGTTAGTCTAGTCTAGAAATTTGCCACAAAGTAAATTACTGTCTGAGATGTTAGCTAGCCCAAGATTGCTTGATGATTTGTGATTTGCCTGCTACAGGTGTGTATACGTTTATGTATTAATTTTTAGTACACAAATAATGCATATTTATTTTTAAAAAGCCAATGAAGTTTAAAAAGAGAAAAAGAGTGAGAAATTCTGCATTCCCACCATTCAAGAATAAATATTGTTAACATTTTGGAATATTTTGTTCTTGTAGCTCCTCTAGGTATGTAATTACTTGTAAGAAGCATTTGTAAGAGTAATCTTCTTTCTGCCATATCTCTTTCCCCTGGCTTATCTTTACGTCTTGTTTTTTCTTTTTATCTCTTTTATTTTTAAATACATCTATTCTAACACATTGTAACACACAAAAATAGCATCATGACATTTCTTTTAGTCCCTCTGTTTGGAAACACAGAGAATTCCCTACTTTCTCTAAATTCAAGAGACCTTTAAGGACACAGCTAGACAATCTGGCTAACCAGGAATATGTCTATAATTTCCAGAGCCTGAGAAAGCAAGTGTTGTCAGAGAAACGGTCACTCAGGTTGCAGTGGGCTGCCAAAAACTGTGAACATTTGACATTTTTAGGAGATAAATGGGAAGAAGAGGCAACAACAAAATGCACTAGGTCAAAAGGGACAATGAGTACAGTTACTAAAATGCAGAGCTGAACGGCACTGGACAGGGTGTTGTGATGTTAAGAGCACAGCTTTCCCAGCTGGACAGCCATGAATGTGAGTCCTGGCTCCACGTTGCTTACTAGCCGTGTTGTGAGCTCGAGCATATTCCTTAGCTCTCTGAGGATCAGGTTTCTCTTCTGTAAAGTGTGAATAAAAACATACACTTGATAGGTTTGTCTGAGGAATAAATCAGATAATATATGTTAAATGCTTGCACAACATCATCCTTCAGTTATGTCAGAATAATGCGGCAATGCTGATGCACTGCCACCACTAAAGCCATACAGCAGCTAAGCTTCTATGAAGAGACTTGCTCAAGGTCGCCTAATACGTCAGTGGCAAAAATGAGACTTGAATCGAGGCCTGATTCTCAGCCCAGTAGTCCTCTTGCTTTAGCAAGAAGCTATTCCATTCCCAATAAATGGAGTGTTCAAGTAAACATTCAGAAAACCTCCTTATACCATTCCCCCAAATCAATGAACTGTGCACCTCTGATGGCCAACCAAGACCCCTCTGCATAATGTTCTCACGTCCATTTAAAGCAGAAACAAACAAACAAACAAACAACACCTCTCAACAGAGCTTGCTTGACTCTGAAGAAGGGTCACAGCCACTTAGTATGATTAATTTGGACCAGAACCTTTTCACTACTGCAGTATTCAGAAATAATTTATTATCCTGACATTACATAAAAGAAGTAAGTACGAAATAAATATTCAAACTACCATTTTAAAATACGTTAGGGGAGTGGATCAGAGTCCCTATTCTTTACTTTATATCATGATAAACTTGTGCGGTACCTGTCACTGAGAGAAGCTTATCTGGATGCGACAGGAAGCAAAGGTTATCTTCAACACGATGGAAAAGGGCAAATGAATGTTAACATTTAATTAAAGACACAGGAAAAGAATGGCAAAGTGCAGGCTAGTGGTGGAAAGAATGGTGTGTCTGTGCTGTAAGGAGGCAGGCTGGCTGAGCACAAGGCAAAACCTGTACGCAGGCATTTGAATTCGCAGCTCTCTCGGTGTCCCGGAAGTTGTGTTGTAGTTGGGTGTCTTCAGAAGACAGCGTACAGAGGAAGAGGCCATTCAGTGCACCGGTAACTATCAGGGCTCTGAGATTAGATCCGGCTGGATTTGAGAAGCAGGGCATGGACTTTTCACCAGCAAGGGCGGGGAACAAAACCCCCTGGCTTCAAACACCAGCTGTGCACCATTTACTAACCATGTGACCTCAGGCAAGTCATTGAGTCTCTGTCCCTTACTTTCCTTTTCTCTAAAGTGGGGATGATACTGGTGTTGACTCACACAGTAGTTAGGAAGGTTAAACAAAGGCGTTACTGTTTGGGAAACACATGGTCAGTGATACATGAGTATTTGTCAAATGTAGTTTTGAGTCCTAGTCATACCACTGACTTACTACATTCCTAATAGATGTTGCTTAGCCTTTTCAGCCTAAGGCTCCTCATCTGGGAAGTGGATCTAATCGCAGGCCTGCCTTACACTGTTGTGAGAAGTAAATGGGCTATGCATGTACAGCACTCGGCAGACGCCAAAGGACTATTACCTCGTTTTTACTTCACCAACTAGACCAGAAGCTCCCTGGAGCTTCTGTCATGTTCTTCGGGTCCACCTCAGGACTTTCTGTATTAATGTTTTTAGAAAGAACAAAAAGATATAAAGACACTGATAAAATGCTCTGCATATATGCAACACAGACCATTCATGCCCAAACTTAGAACGTGCCCTCAGAAAAGAGTCACATGGACACCCACTGAAACATACATGATACACATGGAATTAGACTCAGAAAATTGTGCAACATAGTTCAATATAGTAGTCACCCAAAACAGTAGTGTTCCCTCTTGCGTCCTTGGTAGATGGTCACCAGCTTCTCACTGAAACTTCCAACAACCCACAATTAAGTCTTTCTTGGAGTAAATATATTCCTTTTGCTCTTACATTCCAGTGAGATTTTTAAGACTAGATCTCTTTGGTAACAGTGAAAAAGTCTGACTTATTTTAGTCATTCTTGAGCCTGTCTCCATGACTGAATGTTAAATCCTTTGAGATGAAGGATAAAGGATCACTGACTTACCTACCTTTGCGTCTCCCAATTTCATGTGAAATAGTCCTATGTCCCTAGTAGATGACCAGTAAATATTTATTGAACAAATGAATTAAATGATTAGGGATCCCATATGAGGTTCCCCTTTCTAAGAATGTGGCTTATTTTAAGTAAAGCATCTCCTGTCTTCAATCTCTTCTTCTGTTTGCATATATTATTATATTTAAAATCTTGAAATCTAAAAAGATCAGTTTTCATTTCCTGACTCAGGGTTGAATTTAGATTGTTTTTTAATACTTGACATTTTCACATAATGGATTATTAGGCCTCTAAGGAAAGTTAAGATTGCCTAGTTATTTTATGTATGGGGAATCCAAAACCAGCCATTAGCAGAGCCTGGGCTTAAGGGTGGGTCTCCTGACTCTTAATCCCATGTTGCTTCCACAGCCCCATTCTGCAAGCACTTTACAATTTACAAAGCTCTTTTAACCTACAGAAAGATATAACTTGTTGATCCTTAAATCTATGTTTTAAGAAGAATAAATAATATTGTCATGTTTCAGAGAGAAAAACAAAGTATGAAGAGGTCCAAGGAATCCTACATCGGGGAATAGTAAAGATGAGAGAGACTTCAGATCTTCAGATTCAATACAGTTCTTTTTTCCTTCCAATTGACCAAACTAAGAAAATGTACATAAAAATGGAGATATCTTTAAAAAATGGAAAAAGTGGAAGAATGTAAAGTAAACATGTATCTCAGGTGGGTGGTGACGGTCAAAGTCAACAAGATTTCCTACCGACTTCCCTCAACCGATACCACCTGGACAATTCTGAGAATTAGAACAACTGAGTGCTGCAAACGAAGCCAACCCAAAGATGAGCACAAAGCAAGTTTCCCCCTCACTTAATTCATGACAAAAATATTTCCCTCTACCTAGGGGGCATTTGGGGTGAAAACCAGGAAAAGGAGAGCCTGCCCTTGCAAAAATTATTTTGGATAATTTTTCTCACCAAAAAGAGAAAGCTGAGATCTAATTATAACACTTAAATCAGTACACCATCCCTCATCTCCTATTATTTTCATCTCACTTGTGTTATTGAAATACACAAAAATTCTTTAAGAAATTCAGAAGAAATGTATTTGAGGTTGACTCGTGGGATATAATATCCGACATAAGGTTCTTGGAAGGATGCATGATTACTTACCGTGCTTCCCTGCAGAAATAGTGTGTGCTCCCCACAGAGTGAGAGCCAGCAGGGGTGTGAACAGGGCAGAATCTGCCTCTCAGAGGCAGGAACTCTAGGGCTAGCACGCAGGCTCACAAGCTGGAGAAGTATGTCTACACAGGCAGAAGGGAATCACAACATTCTTAATGAGGCATTGCAACTTGGCTGTTCTCAGCTGGAATCCAAGTAGAGTAAGCTGAAGTTGTCTTATAGGTGGTGAATAATTAGCAACTCTAAGGAGAAAAATAAAAGTGATGATTATGGCTCTTTTCTTTGATTCCTGGAATAATCCCATTTATGGCAATGCTCCTCATTCCTGCCAATCATCCAGTCAATAAACACCTTCTGGAGATGCGTGGTACAGTGATTTCAAGGGGTTTTTTTGAATCTCTTTCAGTCATGCCCCTTCACACAGGGCTAAGGAGACCTAATCACCTGGAGCCCACACTCTGCCTTCTGGTCCACATTCTGAGCTCCCAGGGTCTCAGAATCTCTTATCCAAGTGGCCTAATTCAGTTTTCAGGGCCTACATGAGCCACTTTCCTGAGTCCATCTTCTGAATGGTGGACTGCACAAAAGTATGTGTAATTCTAGCCTGGAGGAACAGCCAAGTGCTATTTGTGGAGGGTATGGAGTGAGCTTGGACCTACAGCCCTGAGGGTCTATACAGATGCAGTCAAGGCTGCATACTGTGCAGAACTGAGCTAGGAATGAGAAGAGCGAACAGGCCACCTGCCAAGAGCTTCCATGGACATTCTTGTCATGGTCCACGAATGTGAGGAGTGGGCCCAGAGGCTTTTTTAGATTCTACCCCTTTGTTTTCTGTTTAGTGAAGTAGCAAGCAGGGCTCCTCCCTAGCCCATTACAGGATTTATGAGTAAATGCATAGGAATCGATTAAAGTCCTAGGAGCATGAACAAATATGATGGAAGAATCTATATAAACAAGTGGGAAGAGCGGGGTTCGAATGAGACAGATTTGAGCAGCAGGCCCTGACCTGGCACTTCTTAGATCTTGGAACTCATGCAAATTGAACCTCTCTAAATCATGTCTCTGAAATGAGGCTTAAATTTTTACCTACCTTACAGAATTATAGTGGAGGGTATAGATGCAAGGAGCATGCACAAGATACTTCATCCACACAGTAAGCATTTTATAAAGGTCGTTATTTTATAGGTGTGAAGGGTAATGAGGAAGCAGATCTTAACAACACAGGAAAGGCCTAGGATGAAGCGGGGACTACTGACCTCAGAAGAGGCAAGACTAGTGGGAAGGTGACATCAACTGAATGGCAAACAGAGTAGATATTTCTGATTTGAGAAAATTAATTTGCCTAATTTCTTAATGCAATTAAAAAGCATTTTGCTCTTTTTAAAAAGAGTGTAATAAGTAGGCAGCAGCTGCTCACAGTTCATAGTACTGGGCAACTGTATCATTAATAAAATTTGTGAGCACTTAGGAGTCCTGTAGGTACCATTTCTAAATTCTTCTCTGACATTTAATCAAGTTTTCAGTTCCTTCTTTGTTATCTTCCTCTTTTACTATCCTTCACTTACTGTCCTTTTAACTTGAATGTTTTCAAAGCATGTCAACCTCTGTACTGCAGTAATTAAGAGATTTGATTTCACTTTACACTTCATTAGTGCCTCAGTTTAAAAGCGTATTGTGATATTGCTTGAACAGAGGGCTGACGAAGCTTACACTGGAGACTATTACATAGACATCTGCAGTCTCAAGTAAATCCTCAAAACACATCCTCTAGTAAAATGACATTACATAATAAAAGTTTATAGGGAGACGTTACATAATAAAAGTTTATTTGGAATGAGAACGATCTGACCCATTGCATCTCAGTCCCTCTCTCTCTGGGCGACCTTGGACAAGTTACTTAACCACTCTTTGACTCCACTTCCTCTCTTGTGAAGTGGACACGTTATACCACCTATCTCATAGATGTGAAGATTAATTTTTTAAATGTTGGTCAAGTACTAAACATTGTGTCTGGCACTGGGAAAAAGTCCTCAGTATGGTCACCCTAAATAAACAAACCTTCATATGTCCCTGGATATTACTCTTCACTTCCGCTTGCCTGTATCCTTCTGACGAAGCTGTGTCTCCGTGTTCTCATCATCAGTTGTGGACAGAAGGGAGCGTTGATGGTAGTGGCTCTTCAGATTACAACCCTCAGGAGTGAATTCCTTCTGACAGTGTTGACCACTTGCAGGAGGACTCCGGGGGTAGTTAAGGAAACATACCAACCTGGAGTTATTTTGAGAAGTAAGAATAATCTGACTGGAAAGTTTTATTCTTGGAATGCCAAATGTCTGCTTTATGCAGTAATTTGGGCTTAATATCCTTACCTGGATTTTCTGAAATGTATAGATATATATATATATTTGAAATATTATATATATATTTATGATAGTATACATGTAGGATATAGAGGTCTCCATAGAATTTTTTAATACTTCTCTTAATACTTCTTTTAAAAAAAGGGGGTGGGGATGGATAAATTTGGGAGTTTGAGATTTGCAAATGTTAGCCACTATATATAAAAATAGGTAAAAACAAATTTCTTCTGTATAGCACAGGGAACATATTTAATATCTTGTAATAACCTTTAATAAAACAGAATATGAAAATGAATGTATGTATGTATATGCATGACTGGGACATTATACTGTACACCAGAAACTGACACATTGTAACTGACTGTACTTCAATTTTAAAAAATGTCTTGAAAGAATATCTTGACTCTAAATGAAGTTACTACAGTTGCAATTCCTTGCTCTTAAGATTTGAAGCAATATGTTAATAGTTAGGTTTTCTTCACTTGTGAGTGAGACTCAGGCATATTTGTGCTCCTGGGATGATGGTTCTAATTGAATCCAAAACTGTTCTTAGAACTACAAATAATAAGTAACTTCAAGAAAAATGTTCAGAAAACTACAGATTACTTATATAGGTTTTTGTTTCTAACTGGTAGGATACTCACAGTTCCATATATATTTATGGAATATTTATTAAGCATTTAATATGCACCAGGCATTTGGATTGGTGCTCTGCTGTGCCTGCCTATGAATTCCATTCTATGACTCCTGTTTAATACATAAATTTAATAAATTCAGATAGGTTGCATAACAATAGAAACTAAACTAGTATCAGAACTATATTCGATGCCGTGTATTAACTCTGAGATCTTGGTTTCATTGTAAATTCTCTAAATTGCAATATGGAAAAATAGCTGTAAAAATTGAGAGGTTTTTCTATCTCAAATGGTTGTGAGGTTTAAAAGATCTAAAATATATGAAGGAATTCAACATGTTGTGTTAGAAACAAAATAAATTTTAAATGATGAAGGTTTGGCTTTAGCACTACAAAAATTTATCACCATAGGCATTCAGAGCCAATACTGATATTCACTAATGTGAAACATAAGTAAACACTAAGAAGCAGCAATTCTGCTTCAGTATATACCCAGAAGAAGAGTGCATATATCCACTAAAAGACATCTGAAAGGATGTTCATAACAGCTTTATTCATAATAAAGAAGTATTAGAAATAACCCAGATACAGCAATAGAATGGATAAATTGTGAGGTATTCAGAAAATGGAACACTCTACATCAATAAAAAATAACACACTACTGTTAGACCATGAATAGATTGCATATATATAATGATGAAAGACAAACAAAAACAAACAAAAAGACAAGCACAATAAACTACATTGTGTATGATTCCATTAACATGAAGTTCAAAAACAAGCAAAACTAATCTTTGGTGATATGTCACAAAACTGGTTACCCTTGATATGTGCAGATATTAACTAGGAAGGAGTGAACAGCAGTCATATGATGGGTTGAAAATGTTTGCTATCTTGCAATGGGTGGTAGTTACAAGTGTGTGTGTTTATGTGCATATAAAAATTCATCAAGGTAATATACTCAAGATCTGTGTTCTTTACAAAATTTCCACCTCAGTATTAAAATGAATAGAGGCAAGACTATACCTATTTTCTGTATCTTTGCTTTGCGTGAAGTATTTGCATAGAGATAGGGCTGGGTGTAAAATGAAAATACAATCCCCCTGTTCAAATAGTATTAAGAATTTCATGATGACAAGAGCAGAACATTAAACCAAGTGTAGGAATCTTCTAAGCCCGATCCCTTATGCACGCCCATGAGGCCAGTCCTGCACAGCAGTAACTCCAAAAATATCCTCAAAAGCGAGAAAGACCTGCAAATATTGGGCATCTGCATGGTGTACAATGAATATTGGAAATTCCTGTTTTTCTCCAGGAAAGCACAGTTTTAAATTAAAAGCGTTATGTTCTATTGGGCTGGATGACTAAGGCATGGTTCTACTCTATTGAAAAGGCAACAGGATAAATACTTATTATAGGAAAATACACTAAAACTGAGATTACATAGAATGCCTTAATTAAGAGGGGAAATTTTACATGAGGGTTCTGAATAGAAAACATTTGTTCTATTGAAATGAAACATGCAGTGCTCTCCAGGCCAAGGAAGAAACAGTGACATGGTACAGTGATAATAAGCTAGAATAGCATGTGTACTAGTGATAACTATTGTTTCCTTGATTGAGAATTTTGAATACTGTATTTATATTACTTCAGTCATTAAATATACTGAAATTCTTTGGGAAAGCCATGCCTCCAAGTCAAAGTATTTGACATAAGAGAGTCAGATTAAGAGGTCATGAAAACAAAATATAAGGAATATTTATGGAAGCTGGGAGGCCTGGGGATGACCAGATAGCCAGTCGCTGACTTTGTTTCCTTACAGAAGTGATGCTTACTCCTTACTAAGTGAGAGCCAACCAGCAGTGCTGGGTTTGGATGGAGGGTAATGAGACAGTTCCTTGCCCTTTAGAGATAGGGTTCCCAGAAATATGAAAGATTGAGCACACTGGATAATGAGCATCTACCTGAGCAGAAAAAGTCACATCATTCTTTTTTTTTTAATAAATTGAAGTATAATCAATTTTCAATGTTGTGTTAATTTCTGGTATATAGCATAGTGGTTCATTTATACATATGTATAAATACTCCTTTTCATATTCTTTTTCATTATAGGCCATTAAAAGGTATTGAATATAGTTCCCTGTGCTATACAGTAGGACCCTGTTTATCTATTTTGTATATAGTAGTTAGTATCTATGAATCTCAAGCTCCCAATTTATCCCTCCCCACCCCCTTTCCTCCCTTAATGAGACATTGCAACCTGGCTGTTCTCAGTTGAAATCCAGGTGAAGAAATTTGTCTTGTAGATGGCGAATAACTATTAATCTTGAGAAGTAAAGCATAACAAAACAAAGCTAAACTAAACTAATCTAAACTAAACTAAAATAACTCTTGTTAGTTTCTTCCTTTGGATTCTTGAATGGCAGCTAATGTCCCCATTTATATCAATGCCTCTGTTTCCTGCACTGCTGATCAGTGAGAACCTCTTGAAGATCCAGTAGCATAAAGCAAAACACTATTAAAATTAAAGTGTGGTGACTCTGAGCTGCTTGGATTCACAAGTGAATGTGGACCTTAAGACTTTTTGTAAAACTTTTCACCATTTCTTAGAGGACGGCTCTACTGACATTAAGTCTTTTATTCAGCAAACATTCGTAGCATGAACTTTCCAAACCATCAGAAAGCCACCAACTCAATGAAGCTTTGTTTGTATTAACGTTTGAATTTCTCCCCACCTGCATTGCACTGGCAGTCACCTCCCTCAGTTATCTCTGGGTGTCCTAAGGCGTATTTTATATGCACTCACCTGCACTTCTGCCCTGGCTTCCTGGTGGATGCCCACAGCTCCTGAAGCCACTTTGAAGTCTGCCTCACTGACGACCTTGGGGAGGGAGACACTGTGGCACTGAAGAGTCCCTGGATGAGTGCTCAAAGGAAGAGGCATGTGACACTGAGGAGAATATAGAAGAGACGTGACCTAGACAGGGAGGAAGAAAAGTTTCCCCTTAAGACGTGACACTTGTACTGATAGGTGGGATATGTGGGAATTTCAGGGCATCCTCACTACAGGAGGGACAAAACCCTTTGGTGGGAGGGAGCTTGGTGTGGACAGGGCGGAATGTGTTAGAGAAAAATGGCTGCTATGACAACAACAAAACAAACGCTCCTGAAATATCTGTGTCTTAACATAATAGCTGTTTATTTTTCATTTTCATAGTCCAAAATTGCAGCAGGGAGCACTGCATCACACATTCAGGAATCCTGGCTGACAGGTTCCACCATCTTCAATGCTTGACTGTCAACGTCCATTCATGCTTTGACAGTCCATTTGCAGAAGGCAAGGGAGGGAGCATGGGGGATAGTGTGGGGAGTTCTTGGGTGCCAAGTCTGGAAACGGAATATAACCCTTCCACTCGTATTCTAATCATCCTGTCTCAGCAATGTGGCCACAGAGACAGTCAAACCTATGAAGGAACTGTAATTTTAAGAAAATAATTCAAACTCCAGAAACTTTTTATAGGTTATAACTGAGACCATTAGCATCTGAGGTTGATTATCACTTGTGGCTGACTTAAAATATATGCTCATTTCTTACTTATTCACTCTTCTATCTATTTATTCTTTGAACATTTATCAGGTACTCACACTGTGCCATGTCAGTAGTCAATAAACCATACTTTCATGCAGAGATCAATACGGTGAGCAAGGTTACAAAAAGAAATATTGCGGGGTGGGGTGGAGTGGAATGGCTATAGCTCAGTGGTGGAGCATGTGCTTGATATGCACAAGGTCCTGGGTTCAATCCCCCCATACTTGCATCAGAAAGAAGGATCAAAAGGAGATGGAAAACAATTTTTTTTTAATTTCAAATTTTCAGTAATCATTTAAGGAGAAAAATGTAATTGCTCATTGGTGCTTAAATTCTTATTAATATATAACAGGTAGAATTAGGGAGACAATTTTAAAGTAGGGAATTCATTATTTTTCTTGAAGAAAACCAGTTGATACACTAAAATTTGTAAACAGTATCTTTAGTGCAGTCCCATTGTTCCATTCTGTCAAATTGCTCTGTGCGTCTAGATGTCCCAGGCATAGTCATTCAAATTATTGCACAAAAGCCACCCCTTCTCTGCACTGAGAATCTCAAGAGTTTGAATTGCTTCACTAAGTGCCAAGGAAGATGTTAAGAAACATGTAATGACTTTGCCATTCCCCTCTTGTGGTTTTAAAATAAATGTTTAAATTGCAATATGTGATCAATACTGAATGACAACTAGAGAGATTTGCAGATTCAGAAATTACCCAAGCAGAGGGAAATGTGAGTTTTTTTTTTTCCATAGCCTTGAGTATTTGGTGTCAGTTGGATGATGAAACATTTTTCTAAGCATGAGCAGGACTCTATTTAAACACCAGGCCAATCATCAAATAAATCCATTAGCTTAGTTTGCAGCCACATTTGAAGAATTTCTCTGTGAGTTTTCCTTTCTTCTTGGCTCAACTATGACACATAAAGACAGCTTTAAAAGAGTGTGAGTAATTAAAGCAACAAGCAATTAAGCAATGGGTTCTAAAAAAAAAAAAACAGCTTACCTGACACCAGTACATAATTGCAGCCTAGGCTATGATCATGTATGGGTCTTTATTGTCACTCTTTTGTAACAAACAACTAGGCAAAAAAGAAGAACAGTATTGCAAACAGGTTTTGACCTTCTGCCAGTTGTTATCTCTTAATCTGCGTCCCTTTTCCTTGTTCCATCTGGCCAGATCTGCTCCTCTCTGCAGTCTTCCCATGTCAGTTAACAGATTATCCATTACTTATGGTGAGAAATCTTTCCTTACCACCTCTTCTACCTTTCAAAGAATTCATTTAGACACTTGTTTGGGGCTTCCGTAGCCTTCCATTCTGCCCCCATCAAAGCTAGGATCAGCTAAATAACTTGCACACCCATTGAAAAATGAAAATATAAGACCCATGTTAAAGAAAACTAGTAAGAATCAAAAAACGGCAACACTGGAGCATTAAATTAAGCCTGGAGGCCTCCTGAACATGGGATCGTGTGCGAACAGATTGCCTGCCGGTGAATCCAGCCCTGATCACAGCCCTGGCACGTGATTGCTGTGGTCTTTCCCCACACAGTTACCGCTGTACAAATCAGGAACCACGTGTAACTTGCTCTCCGTACTGTCCCCAGCACAAGTGCTCTCTGGCCGTGGTAGCGTCAACTATCAGGATCTACAAGACATTATGCAACCTGGATTCTTTGGCTTCTGTGATTACACCACCTCCCTCTCTCTAGGCCACTGTCCTGGAGCCACACCTGCCTTCCTGAATATTCACTGTTTTTCTCTGCCTCAGGGCCTTTGCATGTGCTTTGGTCTTTCCCATCAGAACCATAGGGTTCTGCAGACCTTGTAGGTCTTTACTCAAATGTTTCCTCCTCAGAGAGCTCTTCTCTGGCTACTGCTAGCTCAGGTAGCCCCCAACAGGCACTCTTTCATTGCCGTAGTCTATATTCTAGCACTGACTATTATTTGAATTTATATATGTTGGATTTCTATTTTCTGTCTCCTGTCTCAGAAGGTAAGATCCATATGGCAAGGGCTTTGTCTGTCTTGATTTCCACTGTTTCCCCAAAAGGAAAATGAAATAATGCCAGATACCTACTAGGCACTTGTTGAATAAATGAACAGATAAATGAATGAACATTTCCAAAACTTCTTCTTTCCTAATCTTCTTTATTTGGAAAAAAAATATGCATAAAAACTGATTTCCTACCCCCAAATGTAAGAGGTCCATCAACTACATCCCAAAGGTCAAATCCAGCCCACCTGGTTTTGGTAAATAAAAATTGACTGCAGCACAGCTATGGCCATCCACTTCTGTCATATTAGTGTCTGCTTTTGTGAAACTGGCAGACCTGAATAGATGTAGCAGGGACCATATGGCCTACAAAGCTTATTTACTCTATGGCTTTTAGGGAAAAAGTTTGTCAGCCTCTGGCTTAGAGTACATAGCACTTGAGAAGGTAAGAACAAATCACCTGTCAAATAAAATCAGTTCAGAGTCATCTGCATTAACAAAACAAACAAATAGTAAACCAACTGCAAAAAGCCGTTTAGTTTTCTTCTTAAGGAATTCTCGTATTTATCTGCCTTTTAATGAGTAAAACCACCATGTGAATCTATTCAATGAATATGATGAACA